GTGTTTAGTTCTTAGTAGTTAACATAGAATTAAAGCTTACCTCTAGGTTTCTTTATAAATAGTATAAGTAACACTACTAGTAAGAAGCTAGCTTAAATAAACTCTTTTTTTAAGTTCTTGTTAAGGTATTTTTAGAGCACTTTTAATTTATTTAGCAACATTTTATACAGTGGCCTATAACTAGGTTATTTACTAGGCTTAAGGGTTATTTAGTAATTATACAGATGTTGTATTAGAAGCTTATTAGACTTATCTTAAAAAAAGACATATAATAAGTTATAGTAGTCTTAAGAGACTATTATCTTTAGGTTAGTGTATTTTTAAAAAGCTAAAGCTTAGTTTATATTAGAAATTATAACTGCGTAGATTTTATAATCTAGTTATTAAGCTAGGGTTATAAACAGAGCAGGTCCTATGTAGCAGATGTCTATTTACTGTTTAAGTCCTAGTTTGTGTCTAAATTAAGTAGGTAAAGGTTCCTTAAAAGCTTCCTTTTCTTTAGGTTTAAGCAGTTATTAAATTATTTTATATAGCCTATCTTAGTAAAAGGCCTAGCTTGTTAGCCTTACTTAGGTAGTTTTTTTTTAAGTTATTAAAAAGTAGGTCTAGAGACCTTCTATATTAAGTGCTATTTAAGTGTTGTTTAGATGTAAGCGTAAGTATATATCTTAGTATTAAAAAGAGTTAAAGTTTAGAACTTACTTTTAGTAATTAAAGGCAACCTTATGCTAATACAGCTATAGTTGTTCTAGGATTAAGTTATAACATTCTGTGTTTATTATATAGAGTTTAATCTACTTCTTATAGTGTTAGTAGGTAATTATAATAGTTATAGTATAGAAGATAGAACCTCCTTTAAGTTGTTTTCTATTAAATCTAGTTAGGTAAATTATTTAGGTAAGCAGTGTTAATTAGAGATTTAGTTTACGCACTAGTTCTCTATTAATATAACCTATGCTGTTTGCTTTTAAGTTAATAAGAGCTTATATTAAGGCTAATATAGTTTCTTATTATAAATATATAAAAATATTAACTTAGTACTTCTAGTTATTAGTAGGGGACTTAGCTTATAAGTTAGCAAAGATCTAGTGTTAAATTAGTCCTAGGGGGCAACTTAGCCCTAGGACAAGCCTTTTTGCAGGCTCCTACTGCTATAGCTGCGGCTATGTTAAGAGTAGCAAGAGGGATTAGGGCTTAAATACAAGTTAGAGCCCTTATAGAAATAAGATTAAAATAGTAAAAATCTTTAATAAGTACTAGCAGCGCTACTTGCGTAGACTTAAGAAAGGGGAATAAAGCAGTTTTAAAAAATATAACTATGCTTACTGCACTTAAAACATTAACTTTTTTTTTTATAATCTTTACGCTTTCTAGAACTAACTAAAGCATAATTTAAATTAATTTCTATTATGTTAGAGTTCTTATTTGCAACTGCGCTAGTTTAGGGGCGTATTAGGGCTTGTATAGGGAGGAACTTTATGTTATTATTGTAGGTAGCAATTAGGTTTACATACGCGTTAAGGTTATTTAAAAGGGGTTCTCCTACTATAGCGCGTTGCAGTTTAGTTAAGAGGGAGTTATATAAGGCTATAATTAGACTTATCTTATTTAGGCCTATATTAAATATAAGTTAGTAGAACTTAGTAAAGTGTAAAGTAAAGCTTTTCTTTTTTTATTATAGAGTGTTTAAGTAACTTAGAGCTGTTAACTTTTTGTTTAGGTCTTTATAAGTTGCTTACAGAAACACTATAAATTAGTCTAGGTTAATAATATTTTTATTTATTAGTAAGTTAATTAAGGCTGTTATGTTGTAGTTAAGTTAAAAGTAAGCATATAGTAACTAAAAGTGTTTAAAGGGGAATTAGTCTATGTTTTCTTTAAGTTTATATTAGAGCTTATGTAAAAAGAAAAGTAGGTTTTTCTATTTTCTATTAAACAGCAGGGGATTAGGGAGTTAGTTAGATTTTATTACTAAGTTAAAAAAGTTACAGGTTATAGGCAGTGTTAGGCAGAAAAGAGTTAAGCTATCTCTAGACTTCTAAGTAGGCTTTAAGGCTAGTAAGTTCTTAGTTTCTACTACTATAACAGAAGTTAAGGCAGAAACAGACTACTTAATAGCATAAAGCTGTTCTTTAAAGTCCTTTTAAAAAGCTTTAAAGCTTGCAACGTAGTAGCTTTTTTATAGAGTAAGCGCTTTTTAGAAGGCTTCTTAGCTTACTTTAATAGCTTAGAGTTATGTAAATACTAAGCTTATTAGATTAGATTTAGAGGCTATTCTTAGCTAGAGTTTTAATATAATGTAATGTTATAATTATACACAAGTAAGGTTATAAAGCTTTACAGAGGTCTAGTTTAATTACTATGTAAGGTATTATAGTAGGTACAAGATGTTATGTAAGGAACAGAAAAGTTTAAAAGGAAATTAGTAATTAAATACTTAGCTTAGAAGTCTAAGCGCTTTAGGTATAAATTAAGCCTATTCTAGGTTTAGTTAGTGTTAAGGCAGTTTATGCTTAAGTTTATGTCTGTGTTGTGTTGTGTTTGTGTCAGACGTGCACTAATAATACTCCAGTACGCGTCTGATACGGTTATGTCTGGGATCCGGGGAGGATACCGTGACAGTCTATTACTTTTATACTAGTTAGCTTTAATCTTATAGTATTTAATAGCTTCTTTAAAGGCCCTAAAACTGCTTATTAATAGCTTGTTTATATGTGTAAGCGTTTTAACATTAGAGGCTAGTAAAAACTTAGCTATTAGCAGCATCTCTAAAGCTCTTAGTTTAGAGATTATTTAGATGGTCAACTTAGGATCTACTTGCGGCTAGATGCTGTGCGCTACACATCTCAATTGCAGCTGCATCATCTAGGCTCTGTAGTCGGTGTGGTCTCAAAGGACGACTGTCGCGTCTTAAGGAGGCTAGGTGGCTATTTTGTATTAATAGAGGCACTAAGACTCTTAATTGTTAGATTAAAGCACTGTTTCTAGGCTTCCTAAGATAAATAATAGGTTTTAGATATAATGTATAGGATAATAATTAATTGTATTAATTAATTAATGTTTCTTTTTCTTTTTTGTCTGCTCTGCTTGTGTTGCTTAGCTTTGTTTTTCTAGTCTAAGTCCCTCGCGCACTAGCCCTATGCGCGACTAGCTGCAACATGCTGCAATTTGCAGCAACATACTGTTCAAGCTTATTGCTTGTACTATGTAGCAGCTTTTGTCCAGCGTTCCTCCTGTCTTGACTGTAGGTGCGCATATCTGACAAGTATCTAGACTGTTGTCAGATTGAAGCACTGTTTCTAGGCTTCCTGAGATGAATGATGGGTTTGGATATGATGTATGGGATGATTGATTGATTGTATTGATTGTGTTCATTTATCGATCCTTTTTCTGCTCTACTCGTGTTGCTCGGCTTTTTGTTTTGCCGATCCGAGTCCCTCGCGCACTTGCCCTATGCGCGACCAGCTTGCAACATGCTGCAAATTGCTGCAAATTGCTGCAAATTGCTGCAACATGCTGTAAAATGCTGCAACATGCTGCAAAATGCTGCAAAATGCTGCAAAATGCTGCAACATACTGTTCGAGCTTATTGCTCGTACTATGTAGCAGCTTTCGTCAAACGTTCCTCCTGTCTTGACAGTAGGTGCGCATATCTGACAACTGTAACGCTGCTGCTGTGTACAGACAATAACTATATATAAAGTTATTTAAAAAATAATAAATAGCTAATATACTAAATAACTTTTATAAGCTAATTTTATAGCTAACTTATAAAAGCTAAGTAATAAGCTAAATATTTACTAACTATACTTATACTTAAAACTTTACTTTAAGCTTTAGATAACACTTTATAAATATACTAGGCTAGTTTATACTAATATAGCTTAGATTATACTTAGTGTGTAAAGAATTAGCTATATTAGCTATAGCTACTAGCTAAAAAAAAACCTTATATATATAGCTTAAGTATATGCTTAATAATTACTTGCTTTTTAGTATTACTTAGCTTTTATAAGTTAGCTATAAAATTAGCTTATAAAATTATTTAGTGTGTTAGTTATTTATTATTTTTTAAAAGACTTTATATATAGCTATAGTATGTTACTTTAAAAGTGTTATGTTTTATTTTAAAGCCTAAAGTATAAGCTATATTTAATATTCTTTTAGTATGTCTAAGTAGTGTTGTTAGAAATACATTAGTATAAAAAAAGTAGTTTAGTAGGGTCCTAGTAAAGTAAGCAGCTTAAGTGTGTAAGCAACTTGCTTGTAAAGTGTAAGGCCGGATGTCCTAGAACGGGCCAGTATGGCCTCACCTGACCTGTTTGGAGGTCGTATGACCTGTGCTTCGTATATAAGCATGAATCCTGACAAGCGAAGCTTGGCAGCGATTCGTCTCTCTTACAATACACTCCTATCTTTCTCCGAAAGCTTGCTCTCAGTGCTATCCGTGCTACTTACCATCCCATCTTTACATAAAGTATGTTATAAAAAAAGTTTTTTTTAACTTATTATTATATATATATAGCTGCTATTACTTAAAAGAATATCTAAAGTAGGTTTTAAGTAATAAGGCTTATACTATATAAACTAGCAAAAGTTCTTTCTATTATAAATTCTCTTATATAAACTCTAAGTTCGATAAATATAAAAAAGTTTATATGAAAAAGCAAGACTTTTTAAAATTTTACTAAAGTAAAGCACTAAGCTAAGCTTTTTAAAAACTAGCATAAGCTTTATATAAATACTTTTTGATTCTAAATAAGTATTATAATTTAGTAGCAAGTTAAAAGTTATAAAGTAGTAATACATAACATAGTAATTCTAGCTACTAAGAACAAAGCACTTTAAGTTAAAAATAATTAGCAGAAATAGAAGGAAGCTTAACACTATACAGCTATTGCACAGGGAGGTATAATTACTATTTAGGGGGGCTAGGATATAATACGTGAGCGGGAATTAGTAGAGCAATTACAGGAGGAAGCGCATTATGTAAGGCCAGGATGGCGCTTACGTGTAAGGCCGAGATGGTGCTTACTGTAAGGCTGAGATGGCGCTTACGTGCGACAGGTATATATACTATTCTGCACCCGAAAATCAACGTTGGTTGATTATTCGTACCTTTTGGTTGTATTGGCGGAGTGGTGCGGAGCCCCGTCCTTACACATTAGGCCTAGCTTTGTACAACGCCTGCCAGGGCTTAAACACGCGCACTAAGCAAGTGTAGTATATATAAATTACTTAAACATACTACTTATACATGCCTAAAGCGCTAGTAAACTATTTAATACTATATATATGCTTCTTTCTATTTGTTGTTGCTAGGTAGAATTGATAATATTGTACAGGTATATGGGCCAGCTCGCTTGTCAAATACGTTACTTCCCTAATCTTCGTAACCCTTTTGGCTCAAACACAGAGACAGCCGATACAACGGACATATGTCTACCGCATCTTCTCCTCCTCCTGGGGGGCCACGCAACCTCCACACGCTGCATGGCGACGTGCTCCACGAAGTCTTGCTCTTATCACCTGATCGAAAGTCTCTGCGCCACCTGATTCTCACGCACCCGGCCATCTACCACGCGTTCAAGGCACGACGCCGCCTGATTCTTAGAACCGTCTTCAAAATGGAAGCAAGCTTCAGTCCCCTGGACATGGTCGCCGTGGATTTATTCCTAGTCCGGCTACAAGCCAAAAATCTAATCGATGGAGCTGTACTCCGCGAAGCACTGTGGCCTCGGTTCGAGCCTCTACTGCCAGCTTTATTCCCCTCTAGATAGGCCACGGCACTCCTAACCTGTTACCACTCATCGAACCTGAAAGATGATGCACTCGTATTCACGAAACGAACAATAATCCAGCTACTGGATCATGCTCTGCCGCCCACCCGGGAAGCTCGTACGTTCGCACGGGCTGCCATTCGGACGTACGTGGCTGCCAATCTCGCTGAGAACGCGCTTCGATTTCAGGAGGTTTTTCTACGTCGGCTTGATCCGCGATCACCCGAACACAGTTTATGGGCCCAAGAGCTTGTCATCAGGCTCCGGGCTATCAAAGGCCCAGAACAAGCGCTGCAACTGCAGCGCAGCAACTGGGAGCTTTACCAAAGGACCCTCGGACCAAATAGCGACATTACTTTGGACTGGGCACGTTCAGTTGTTCATGAACATCAATGTGCGGGCGATCACCAGAAGGCAATTCTCTTCCACCAACCAGTCAGAAACTCTCTGGATCCCACAACGGCGCAGTATGTCGCGTGGTCACGACAGCAAATACAAATGCTGAAGAAGTTAGATCAGATTGAAGAAGCTCTCTTAGTCATGGGGGACGTCTGGCGCCATCTTCAACCTGATTCAGGTGGCTACAGGGCATAGGCAACGCAACTCAGTGCACAATACGAAGCTGTAGGACGAGCCGATGCTGCAGTTGCGGTTTGCGAGACTGCTTGGACAGCCATAAAGACATCCCTAGATCGCTTACCCAATGACAGAACCTGGAAATATCACGCCCATGGAGCTGCACTTATGCTTGCCAAAGCATATCGCCGAAACAATCGAAAAGAAGATGCCATATCTCTTGAAGCAATATCGAAATCGCTTCGTACATCATAGTCCCAGATGTTTCGCCATTTCTTCGAAACAGGAGCTCTTATTCTTCCTTCTATATCAAACTAGAGACGCATAGTCCTCACACACAAGTTTAGTGGTCGAGTAACAAAGAACTCGGGATCGTATTCCAAAGGTTCCGTGCTTGCGTTTTGGAACGAGTATCTTGCAACCAATGATGCCAACACAACACGAACTTCATGCAAGGCGACATGGGATCCTGGACATCCCCGAGAGCCTGCTGCGAAAGGGATGTAAGCCGAAGGGTGGCGGTCTCGAACTGTGCTGTAGTTCCAACGATCGGGGTCAAATTTCTCCCCCTCGTTCCAATGCGTGTCGTTGGTCTGCATGTGCGGAAAAGATGCTATCATAACCGAGTGCTGTGGCAGATGATATCCGCCTGGCAACACTACATCCTTGTTCGCTACTCGAGCTGCTTGGAAGGATGGGCTCATGTCTTAACCTTGATAAATGGCCTCCTCGTCGCGCCTGCGCTCGCCGCCCAGATTTGAACGTGGTGTAGAGCCGCAACCTTAACGGAAGTAAAATGCCTGCCTCAACGGCTTCTGAAACCTCCCCAACTTCTCAAATTCTTCGTACTTGAACCCTCTCACAATCGCATACCCCACAATCGTATGATACTGCTTGTCCTCCGTCTCCCGAATAACCATCGGAAATTCCGTATTCTTCAACACAACCACCTTATCTCCCATTTGGATATCGGTGACTCCCTGGCAGCCTATCCCCGCAAGTCCAAATTTTGTGTCGAAAAACGTTCGCCCGGAGAGCCACGTCGCGTGTTCATATGACTCGCGATCAAACGCCTTTTCATCGTGGAGGAACATCTTATGTGCCAGGATCTGGGGCTTGTCCTCTTCTAACTTCGCAGTTGCGGTCTCCACCGTGGCCATGAGAGTATTTGATGTCGTCTGTCCAGCTTCTAATACGGTCTTGTACTCCGAGATCAACGCCGAGACCTCGTTGTCGCCGGGAAACTGGGCCGCAAGAGATTCGAAATACTGGCGCGACTCCTCGACTATCATCTGACTCAGTGTCATTTGTCTCTCGTGATCTTCCGTAATAGTTTTCTTTATTGTGTCTTGATCTACGATTTGTTCATCTCGATATTGTAGGTAGGAGTCATCGGTTGTACTGGATCTATTTTGGGTGGACTTAGGGAAGGACCGGATGGCATTAACGAAGCTCAGGACAAGTCGCACTCTCATTCTAACTTCCTCCTCGTGCTCGCATGTTGTGATGTGATGCTGCAATAGTTCGTAGCAGGGTTCTATTTTCGTAGCTATACCCGACTCGTTTCTGGGAATCCAATCCGGAGAACTTCCACTATTTGTGGGAGCTATGATATCCCGCAACTTGGTTGAGACAACAGATGTTTGAGATGCGCTGAATTGGCAAGGTAGACTTGGCTTCCTCAAGTGTTTGATCTGACCTAAGAGGTTTTGGTAGTCGAATAATGCAGCGCCGAATAGATCTGTGCTGGAGTGATTGGTTTTCTCCAGGAATAAGCGCATTGTTGAAAGCCGGGTACTTATTTGCGCGAAGGCCGAAGCAATTTTCAGGTGCTCAAGCATCTGGATACTGATCGGGATCCGGGCCTGAACCGAAGTAGGTACGAAGTCTTTGGAAAGACCTCGTAATTGCTCCATTAAGTTTTCGCACGTGGAGATATGAGTTTTATAGGCATCCTTTACTTCGTTGAAGAAAGGGTCGAAACTTGATTTGAGGATATCGTACTTCTCGAATACATTGAAAGGCGGCAACTCAAAAACTATGCTTTCCATGTCTCGTTTGACAATGGGAGAAACCCATTTTCGTATCAGATCTCTAGTGTGAAGCATCGGCAGTGCTGTGAACACTGGAGGGGACTTTCTGAGCAACGCCGCACTTGGGATGGCAGCAAAGATGTTCTCGAGGAACCAAAGCTCCCGGACAGTGTTTGGCCAATCAGGCTGGTTGATGGCATATACGTGGTTTACGGAGTCTAGCATATATCCTTCCATAGCCAAAACGCCATCCCGAATGGCGAGTGGGCAGGGTGAACTTTTCTTCAACTTGCCGTAATCAAACAAGTTGTGCTCTAGCATCGCTGCCTCTGGTATTGGTTTGGTAAAATCCGGGACCCAGGAAGGCATGCTAGGAGAGAGTCTGTAAGGATACCACCAGAAGACTTGCTGCCATCCATCGATAGCCAAAACCCAGGTTGCAAGCTTGTGGAAAGCAGTCTCGACAGACTCCGAATAGTTGGGAGCGAAAATAGCTTGCGCAATTGGGTCCAAGAAGGAACGCATACCATATATCCTGTCTCGAGGGTTGGTGCACCTCAAATTTACCTTTTTTAGAACGCCCCTTGGTAGCCACAGGTGAGCAAAATCAGGTCGATTTTGAGCTGAACGGAGCGTTAAAACACTGTAGACATGAAGTATCTGCCTCATAATGGGCTGCCATGACTTTTGAACGTCAAGGTCGAGTTTGAAGTCCCCGGCAAACGGGATAAGATGCGTTGCGATATTCCTCTGGAGCATTTTCCAGTCCCTAAGTAGAGCGGACGCTTGAATCGAGTTGCGCCCAAGGTGAAATGTCGGATTGGTACGTGAAAGGCTATACTCTTGCTGAACCCAGATCCGGTTCCACCATGGCAGAAGACAGAAATGGACGTAAGCTTCGAGTAATTCTCGTATATCTCTCTCACCCGGACCAAAGTCTTCAATGGCCTTGTCAACCGAATCTTCTTCATGAAAGTTCCGGTTGAGGAAGGAGAAGAGCGCCAAACCGCCGGCGTTTGGCTCGCCGAGATAAACAGCGACATGTTGCGCGGACCTGTATATTTCGACCATCATGCTAATCTGGATTTCTTTATCTTTGTTGTCGTTTTGGTTGATACACAGTGAATCCACCCATAGAACACGAGAGCTCTCTTGCATGCGTAGAGCTTGAAGAGCACGATAGAGATTTGGGGTTATCTCCATATTCGTGCCCTCAATTTCGATGAAATAGTTGGTTTTGGCTTCCATTTCCCCCCACACATATGATAAGGCTTCGTATACTGGGCTCGACGACAGATCCACGCAAAATATTGTAGCTTTCAACTTAGGACCCTCACCAGGTAAGAGTGCCAGAAGGCGTATACTATTTCCAGGTTCAGCGAGTCGAAACTTTTGGTAAAGCTTTGCGACTACTGACTCTGGCTCGTGCGGCAGCATGTCATGTTCACGAAGTGGTGCAGTTGGTACTCCGGCCAAACGCAAGATTGCGCGTGCGTGCTCTATAAGCTCAGATTGAAGATCGTCCTCGGATCCGGTCTCACCAAGCTTCCACTCCGGCAATTCCAGATTCGAGAACCCTAAGAAATGAAAAGTCAGAATTGAGCGTTGGGATAATACTTGGACGAAGAATGTTGAACTGGCTGACCTTTTGGCGCAAAGAAAAGACCGAGTAATATCGGCACACTGACACTGGACCATGATTTGTACCACTTGAGCCTTTGTACAGGTGCCGCCTTTGCCTTCACTTCATCAACGTGCGCAGGGAGAGAATCGCTTTCGTAAAAGTAGACAGGGTTGCGAAACTCTCCGAGCTCTTCGGGTTTCCCGAGGCGCTCCCAATAATCCACAAATGAAATGATGGCCGCTTGTGTAGTTTTCTGGTCTACGAGTCCGCGGAGCCATAGGCCGACTTCCTCCTCATCGTCAATACCTCTGGCAGAAGCTTGGGCTGTGTCTTCTACTCCAACAACATAGAATGCATGACCTGCGCAAGTGGCCGTGATCGGTTTCTCTTGCTCGGTACGCGCTATCCACTTTTTATAACAGCCGTCGCACACAAACAGGAACAGACACGACTTGCAAGCAAGCCATCGAGTTCGCGGTTTGATCTGTTTCTTGCAGATGTCGCACGATCCGGAGTTGGTTGGTTGTTTGAATGCAAAGGAGGCATTCGCCGCATCGTTGCTCCACAGACACATCAGCCCCAACGCCCAAATAGGGCCTCGTTCAACTTTCAGTATCCTTTCGCATAGCTGGGCGAGCTTAATGACGCACTGGTGTCGTGGGCGGTCATTCCGAAGCGGCTGCTGATAGAACTGTTGAAGATAGCTGAACGATAGCACCTTACTCATCGCAATAGTTGTAGTATGGGTGTCCCCAAGTGCTTTACTGTAGCTTTCGAACACACGCTCCAGCACGTTAACCGCCTCATCGTGGAATTTTCGCTTTCTCAAATCAAGCCCTAGTCGATACAGCACACACATTTCAACATCCATTTCAGTCCGAAACAGCACACGCATTTCGATATTCGTATCAGTTCCAAGCTTCCGAGAGCCTTCCGCGACTCTTTCAAGCAATATGAGTGCTTCTTTCAATTTCCCACTCTGGATATACACATCTGTCAAGTTGAAGGAAGTCGCAATCGTGTCGCTGTGGATGCGTCCCGCTGTCCTCTCGTCGAACACCAGCGTTCGCTGAAGCATGCTTTCCAGTTTTGTGCTTTCCCCATTTTTTTGATAGAAGTCGCTTAATTTCCGAAGGGCATATGATAATTGTGGACTATATGGGCCATACGTCTCTTCGACATCGCTCAGCTCTTGCAAGCACGTCGCTTCGTCTGTCACCACTTTGGTCGTGCCAGAGACTGCCGGTGGGGAAATACTTCTATTTGCTCGTAACGAGAGCGCGACTTTGAGCATCATCGCCGCGAACACCCCCAAAAGCGTGACTGGGAATAATTTCTGGAACACGGTTGCGAACCTGCTTCGGAGCATTTTTCTGATCATGGTTGCAGGAGGGAGGCACCGGTAGCGAGATGAAATCTTGCCTGGCTTTTGCAGAAAGCATTGAAATGAGGGTAGAGAGGCTGGGAAGAAGAGAAAGGGGATGCCGTGCGTCACCTCATCTATCGTATGCAAAAATCGGAGTATTTCTTGGCGACATCTCAACATTCACGCGCGCCCGCGTTTCGTTATAGAAAACGCGACTTTGGGTAAATTTAGCTATATACACCTGCAAATTCTACAGTGACTAGTTAGTAGAATTGAAGCTATAAATATACCTATCTTACTTTGCTACAGCAGCATAGCAGCTTAGCGTTTGTTACGATGGTCTGGTTGGGCCACCGGAAACACCACCAAGGCCAGCCCCAACCCCACGCAAGAAGGATGGACCGATCCAGATCACATGACAAGGATGGATCAGATGGGGTGCTTTATAAACCTAAGTTAAGTATATGCTTTAGAATAACTAATTTAAAAAATTTTGTTAATTTTTATAAGTTAGCTAACGTACCTAACGGGTTAGCCAGCCACTTTTGCTAAGCCCCTACTAAAACCACCCTATTCTAGCGCAAAACAGCCTACTTTAGCCCTGTATAGAGCAATACAACATAAGATATTATTTAAAGTCTACTTTTACTACTTACTTATATATATATAAGTTATACCTAGTCTAATTACACTACTTATATTACCTTTAACTTAGCTTACTTTCTTTAGTGTACACTTATGTTTTTAGCTTTTTTTTATTACTACACACTTTAAACTTTTTTAAAGTAGTTAGATAAGCCTTATTCTTAACTATTATAGTCTTTTTTACTTAAATTTACTTTTTTTATATAATCTATGTGTCACGGTATCCTCCCCGGATCCCAGACATAACTGTATTAGACGCGTACTAGAGTATTATTAGTGCACGTCTAACACAAACACAACACAACACAGACATAAACTTAAGCATAAACTGCCTTAACACTAACTAAACCTAAAACAGGCTTAATTTATACTTAAAGCGCTTAGACTTTTAAGCTAAGTATTTAATTACTAATTTTCTTTTAAACCTTTTTATTTCTTACATAACATCTTATACTTACTATAATACCTTATGTAGTAATTAAACTAGACCTCTATAAAGCTCTATAACCTTACTTGTGCATAATTATAACATTACATTATATTAAAACTTTAGCTAAGAATAGCCTTTAAATCTAATTTAATAAGCTTAGTACTTACACAACTCTAAGCTATTAAAGTAAGCTAAAAAGCTTTTTAAAAAGCGCTTACTTTATAAAAAAGCTACTATGTTGTAAGCTTTAAAGCTTTTTAAAAGAACTTTAAAGAATAGCTTTATATTATTAAGTAGTTTATTTTTACCTTAACTTTTATTATAGTAGTAGAAACTAAGAACTTACTAGCCTTAAAGCTTACTTAGAAGTCTAGAGATAGCTTAACTTTTTTCTGCCTAACACTACCTATAACTTATAACTTTTTTAACTTAGTAATAAAATCTAACTAACTCCCTAATCCTTTATAGTTTAATAGAAAATAGAAAGACTTACTTTTCTTTTTATATAAGCTTTAATATAAATTTAAAAGAAATATAGACTAATTTCTCTTTAAACACTTTTAGTTACTATATGCCTACTTTTAACTTAACTATAACATAACAGCCTTAATTAACTTACTAATAAATAAAGATATTATTAACCTAAATTAATTTATAGCATTTTTATAAGTAACTTATAGAGACCTAAATAAAAAGTTAATAGCCCTAAGTTACTTAAACACTTTATAATAAAAAAAAAAAGCTTTACTTTACACTTTACTAAGTTCTACTAACTTATATTTAATATAGGCCTAAATAAGATAGGTTTAATTATAGCCTTATATAACTCCCTCTTAACTAAACTATAACATGCTATAGTAGAAGAACCCCTTCTAAATAACCTTAATATGTATGCAAACCTAATTACTACTTATAATAATAACATAAAGTTCCTTTTTATATAAGCTTTAATACGCCTCTAAACTAGCGCAGTTGCAAATAAAAACTCTAATATAATAAAAATTAATTTAAATTATGCTCTAGTTAGTTCTAAAAAGCATAAAAATTATAAAAAGAAAAGTTAATACTTTAAGTATAGTAAGCATAGTTATATTTTTTAAAACTACTTTATTCCTTTTTTTTAAGTCTACGCAAGTAGCGCTGCTAGTACTTATTAAAAATTCTTACTATTTTAATCTTATTTTTATAAGGGCTTTAACTTATATTTAAGCTTTAATCTCTTTTACTACTCTTAATGTAGCTGCAGCTATAGCAGTAGAAGCCTATAAAAAGGCTTGTTTTAGGGCTAAGTTGCCTTTTTAAGACTAATTTAACACTAGATCTTTGCTAACTTATAAGCTAAGTCCTCTACTAATAACTAAAAGTACTAAGTTAATATTCTTATATGTTTATAATAAAAAACTATATTAGCTTTAATATAAGCTTTTATTAACTTAGAAGTAAATAGTATAAGTTACATTAATAAAAAACTAGCGCGTAAACTAAATCTTTAATTAATACTACTTACTTAAATAATTTACTTAACTAAATTTAATAGAAAACAACTTAAAAAAAGTTCTATCTTTTATACTATAACTATTATAATTACTTACTAACACTATAAAGAGCAGATTAAGCTCTATGTAATAAACATAAGATATTATAACCTAATCCTAGAATAACTATAGCTATATTAGTATAAAGTTGCTTTTAATTACTAAAAGTAAGTTTTAAACTTTAACTTTTTCTAATGCTAAGATATATGCTTACGCTTACACCTAAATAACACTTAAATAGCACTTAATATAAAAGGTTTTTAAACTTACTTTTTAATAACTTAGAAAAAAACTACTTAAGTAAAGCTAATAAGCTAGGCCTTTTACTAAAATAAGCTATATAAAATAATTTAATAACTACTTAAACTTAAAAAAAAAAAAGCTTTTAAAAAACCTTTACTTACCTAATTTAAACATAAACTAGGACTTAAACAGTAGATAGACATCTACTATATAGGACCTACTTTATTTATAACCTTAGCTTAATAACTAGATTATAAAATCTACGCAGTTATAATTTCTAATATAGACTAAGCTTTAGCTCTCTAAAAACATACTAACTTAAAAATAATAGTCCCTTAAAACTACTATAACTTATTATATGTCTTTTTTTAAAATAAGTTTAATAAGCTTTTAATATAACATCTATATAATTACTAAATAACTCTTAAGCTTAGTAAACAACTTAGTTATAAGCTACTATATAAAATGTTACTAAATAAATTAAAAGTGCTTTAAAAATACTTTAATAAAAACCTAAAAAAAAGGTTTATTTAAGCTAGCTTCTTACTAGTAGTGTTACTTATACTATTTATAAAGAAACCTAGAGGTAAGCTT